GATATGTCCTATTTGTCGCAGATTGAATAAGAAACCGCAGTAATTTACCGATGTTCAAATCTCTTAAATTCATTATGAATATACAAACCTTGTATGAACTTTAGAGGGAGTGAGACTGGGAGCGTATACAGAACAAACGATTTTGCAATGAGTGCATTTACAAGATACAAAATAATATATTGAGCTAATCATTGCGACCAGTGCTGAGCATACATAATCATTTTATTCACCTATCAGGAGTCACACTGGGATCATCATAATTCCTGACATTTGATAATAGTGTGATTGGCAATTCATGAGATAACATTCCTCCTTAGACCATATATGTGTAAGTTACTAAAAATTAATCTAATCTTTGCTTGAAATTATTTCCAGCATTTTAGTTCTCTGTTTTAATAACTGAATCAGAGCTTGATATATTCAGCTAGTCAAAATGTCGCGATTGGAAATATAACACAAGCAGCAGTATAGATCTCAAGGATATAAAGATCTAAGTCTCACTGCGAAAACATAACATGTATCTCGTTAGTTAAGATGGGCCAAGATCACACACCTGATGATGAGGCACCTGCTGATATTGCACCGTGAACCTGTCAATATTGCTCCTCTGTAGATTAAATGGAGTTTCTTCCCTTTGTACATTAAACTATTTCAAATGAAAGACCATTGCCGGTACCTCTGTCTCTCTCTATCAATATCCAAGTGGAGATGATATTGAAGCCTTTTAAAAAGGATGGTTGAAGCTCACACAGCATTATGTATCTACCTCCTGAAAATTTAGTCCAGCTGCTTATTTTGAAGTTAAAATACAGTAATTGGCATACAAGGATGAACGCTATGGCCTTGTCTCCTTGCTAATTGGAAAGTAATGCTAACAAGCATGGCACCTTTTAACTACAATATCTGACTTGCCAAATAAGAAAAGCTAATCTTTTACGCTTCCTTGAAAACTTTACAAGTGAACATGATTTGGGATAAACAGCAACAACAACTTTTCATTAGCAATGCCAACTACGCTATCTATCAATAAAATTATCTATTGAAATATATGACTCAAATCAAATGCATCGACGCTTCTGCACAATTTTGTAATAGAATTGTGACAACAGTCCTGTTCTACAGTTGGGATCAGTTTTAATTTCATTTTAGAACTGCTCAGGGGTAGAACTGTCAGAATCTGATATAGAGTAGAACATTTCTAAATTATGTAAATCATGACCCCTCTTTGATCATGATTTTGAATAACTTAATTTGTCGAGGAAGTCTTCAGATGAAAATAAATGGATTGTCTGTGTAGGACTCATTTCAGGTAGAATAATTAAAAGGGAAACAGGGTAATACTTTTGTTTTTTCTTGGTATAAAAATATTTTCCTAGGACTTTGTTAGATTAGGATGCAGTTCTTTTGTTTCTTCAAGTATTAACATACTTTTTAACCAACAATAATTTGTATTTGTTTATAGCAATACAGGAAAATAATTGGATTACACAATGGCTATATAATTTTTCTATGTAAATTAATACCTGAGTATACATTACTGAAATCATGATTATATTTAATTTTATGCAACGATATATGTGCTTTTGTATTACCTTTTCTCTAATTTTTGTGCTATTTTCACATTTCTCGATCGGTATGAGAAAAATATTTCCTCACTAGTGAAATATCTGTTCTCAGCAAATTATTGGTAGAAATTTAATTATGACGTCAAATTTTCTTGGTTTCTTCTGAATTATTCTTGTGACGTCATGAAAAAGGGCGACAATGCCTGATGACGTCACATATAAAAAACACAACTTTCTGCAAATCTTTGAAAAGGAAGGATAAAAATCATTAGAGAAACAGATTCTACCACTATAACTCGTGTATTACGATATTTCTCCACTCTCAACAGTTAAATTTTACTTATTAAAAAGCTCGGCAAGCCTCGCGCTTAAAATACTAAAATCTAACTGTCTCGAGTGGAGAAATATCGTAATACACTTGTTGCAGTGGTGGAATCTATATATTTATTTTGGCATACGATATTAACAACAGATCATAAAAGTAGTAAACAAAAAATGAAAAAAAATAATATTGATTTCAACAAATGAACAAAACTGAATTATCAAGGTGAAAACGACAAAAAAAAACTAAATCCGAGAATATCTGGTCTGAAATAATAAACATAAAATTTAAATAAATAAACTATTAAATGAAATCAAATAAATACATAGTTAAAACCTAAACAAAAGGATGGATAAATAAAGTGCTATGAGCTGTTCTAGCAATAGAACTTTTAGATAAACTCATCATAGACAATCAGAATTGTTTCTAATGTAGAAATGTCAAAATCTGTTCAAGGGTAGAATTTTCAGAATCTGTTTATGGATAGACATACTATTATTCCAAAACTGTTCAAAGATAGAACTGTCCAAACCAGTCTTTTTGGTAGATCTGTTTTTCTCAGTTGTGAAGCAGGATACTCTCCCGTAGCACCTGATATCACTTCCGGTTTTTGATGGGGTTCTTGTTGATCAGTTTTTAGTTTTTTTATGTTGTGTTTTATGGACAATTGTTTGTCTTTTCGTCGTTTTTCGTTACTTGCCACGACTTTGTTGGTTTCTCTTCGACCTATGGGTTTTGATTCTCCCCTTGGTAAAATCCGCCTCTTTTTCAGCTATTTGATGTCATGGTAATTATTTCGGACTGTGTTACTTTCGATATAACGTCATAACACAGATATCGGAATAATTTCTTGAATGTAAAATACACAATACAATATGGTAACGTTATTTTTTACACAAGGGTTTAGAATTTGCATAGAATTAAAAAATCGATCAAGAACGACTTACAAAAACAATAAAACAAGGAAGCTACCCAAAAAATGGCAGAAGTAAGGTTAATATCCTTATCGAGGAAGTATTGTGGACACCAACCGAGCTTAGGTCTTTACTATTTACATTAGTTTTCTTTTACCCTTTCATTTGTAATTTATTTTTTTGGAATATATCACACATCAAACTAGATGACTGATTTGAACAGATTAAAAGTAAGAAACATTAAAGTAGGAACGTTAACCTAAATAAAAATTTAAAAAAGGAGTATATTTCAAAAACCCAATGAATTACGACTCTCAAATATGAAACCAAGAACAAAAAGTAATAATGAAAACAAAATAACATCGTGTCATTGAACTGGAGTTTTAAATCATTCTATAACTCACCGACTACTGTATAACAATAACAGAGAGGATGAACAGAATAATGAACTTACAATGTTGAAAAACCGACCTTTTATGTAAAATAAAATCAACCTATGTTGAAATAATGACAAAGCCTAACTTGAACAAGAAAATTTCTAATTCATGGATTTTGAAAAGCCATGAAACCAGGTTCAACCCACCATTTTTTTTTCTTAAATTGTCCTGTACCAAGTCAGGAATATGGCAGTTGTTATCAAATAGTTCGTTTCTATGTGTGTTGGCGTTTGTTTTTGTTGCACTTCGGTGTTCCTGTTGTTCCTTTGTTTTCTTCTTATAGTTGATGTGTTTCCCTCGGTTTTTGTTTATAATCCGGATTTGTTTTCTCTCAATCGATTTATGACTTTTGAACACCGGTATACTTCTGTTGCCTTTCTTTAAGATAATTCCTGGGATTTTTTACACTTATCACTTTTTTGTCTTTTCACCATTTTAAATTTTCCTTCGTCTGTTTCGCTTCTGACTTTATAGAAATCTACATATAAAGTGGAATGGTCCTAATCATATGCTAAATATGGTTTTAATCGTACTTTGTGAAGAACCAACAACATACACACCGAAGATGAAATTATCAAAGTGAATTTTTGATGGGTTTGGTGGATTAATTTTTCAACAAACAGTCGGTATTCTAATGGGTATTAATTGTGCACCTTTACTTGCCGACTTGTTTTATACTCATATGAATTAGAATGTATACAGAAATGTCTCAAAGGTAAAATGAAAAAGCATCTTGTAAACATTTGTATTTATAGATGATGGCCTGTTACTCAATTACCCACATTTTAGTAAGCGCTAACATCTCTGACATCCCAGAGATCTTGAGGTTAAGGATACTACCAACACTAGAAGGTCTGTTTTAAAAGCTTGATCTTTTCCTCGATATTAGCAGAGACGGATGACTTCAAAATAGAATCTATCACTAACGTGATGATTCCAACTTTCTAAATGTCAACTTCCTTGCAAAACACACCCTCCGTCGTTTACACATTTCTGGCATGTTCTCTTCACACAAAAACTGCTCCAACAGATATATAAGGAAGGGTGTACGAATCAGTCGAGCAATACGATGTGTCTGTGTCTCAACTCACTAGCGACATGTTTTCGCGGTTTTACAATATCGAATCAACTGTGAGATAAAAACTACATATGCAGGTGCTGGTGGAGTGTTGCTACATAGAAAAATACACAGTGAAAATTTAATCTGCCCATTTTGTCCCGATATACTGTATTTATAGATGTAATTCAAGATATGAAGAACACTTAACTGTATATAAGTCCGAAGGATAGGTTGTAACACGAGAGAGGCGAAAGATACCAACTTGACATTCAAACTCATAAGTCGAAAATAAACTCACAACGCCATGACAAAATAAAAAGACCAAAAGACCAAAAGACAAACAACAGTACACAAAACACAACATTGAAAACTAGTCACCAAACTTAGAATTGTTCAGTGTAAGGACATCATCTATATACCGAGACGTGAAGTGAAAAGATAATGCTAGATTCGTTTCATTCTTCATAAAAAAAAAATCCTGTAACAAGTCTTAGGAATGCCGATTGTTTGTTGAAAAACACGTCCTCCAAACGTAACATATACATTATCAATCAAGAAATCCTGCATCTTGACAATGTCAGTTTCAAGGAATGTTTTGTTAGAATCAGATTCATACAAATGAAAAACTACACATTACACCATTTCAATACAATTTGTTGATGCTGACACTTTTGTTAGATGTAAGAATGAACAAAAATGTGCTTATGAAACGAATTTTTAATGTTAGATATCACAAAACTAAATGACAAAATAGATACCAATCTATTAACTTATAAATAAAGGTAAACACGTTCAATATTGCTATCTTAATAGATGCCTTAGAACTAAAAGTACATCAAACGCCCCTTTCCACCGTTTTACTTAAATTGATCACCTAAATTGGCAAAACAAATATTAACCATTTTTTTGTCTAAAAAATAAACATTTCCTAGATAGTATTGATTATAAGTGTAGGTATATTTGTCATCAAAGACATTTAAACTTCTACATCAAAACCATTTAAACTTCTACATCTAAACCATTTAAGGATATCCATTCCATGGTCAAGGACCGGAAGTGTATGTTAAAGCCCTACTTATCCCTCAAAAACCCTCAATCATATAAAAAAATAATTTAAAGACAAATTATAAAAGTACTATTTGTTTAGACTGTTCAAAGCTTCACAAGAATGATATTATTCCGGTGTGCATGTTTTATGCAATGTTTAAGTGTATGCCAACTGGAAAACATTGGGTAGACTCCTTGGCCAACATTAATTTGTAATGGATATTTGTGAATGGGTGAAACACGCAAATTCTAAAAACAATCAAGCTGATCCGTATGTGCAGCAAATATTAGCTAAAACAAGATATATCCTTTTTCAGACCTTTATCAGCGAAAAGAATGTTTTTATATTCACTTTTAGTACGTCACAATCACATCATCACATATGTAATACGCCACAAAAATCTGATATGCCTATTTTTAGCATTGTATGTCAACATATACTAGTATTCATCATTTCTTTACTAAAATGAAACAAAATTGTAAAGGAACAATAATAAACGTTTGTGATAATACTTCTTTGGAATTGCGACCATATTAACAAAATTACCTCCGAAAAATCAACATTGATTCTAAAAGAGAGCTTTCATCTCCGATTACTCCATTTAGCTATTAGAAAGTTTTTATTATTTTTTTATATTTTATACGGTAATTTTAAAGCAGTAGATATATTTTTTTGGGATATTTGTGGGTAAACTCTTATTTTCTCACATCAAGTTTAAAAAAATTAAATTGGCAAAACTAAAAAGCCAAAATTGATAAATATAAGTAAAGAATAAAAAAATAATTCAGCACAGTCGCTGTGTTTCTCTATTTGCATAGAGCATTATGTCACATAATATCAAACTGTTCATCTACGATTTCTTGTTTCACGATTCCAGAGCTTTTTGTTGAGAAAAATCATGTCTGAAATTATGATAATCTGCTATGGTTAATAACACAAAATCCATTATCATTTGATAAATATAAATACATATAAAAATAGATACTTAATCTGTAAACATTATAAATGAGCGTTGTCCTCTGATGTACTATATGCTCTTGACAAAGTCATAACCCTGTTAGGAATATCTTTTTGTGAATAATAGTCTAGCAATTCCTCCGTCGTACTGAACCATTGTTCTTTGTTGTCAATGCTAAATCCACGTTGCTGAAAGAAAATAATCATAGTTGATAATAATAGTTTTAGTGAACTGATACTAAATTTGTTTTTTTTTAGTGTAAAAACTCATCTTAGGCGGAGAAGGATTATATAGATGGTATCCTTTCACTGAATATTTACAATTAAAATGAATAAAGATATCGTGTTTTTCATATTACAACTAGAAAACAGGATTCTGAAAAAATAGAGCTATATCTGCTGCGGATGGAAATCCGAGCATATGGTGGTTTTTCTCAAATTTGAAACTTGGATTTCCAAAACGACAGTGATGGTTAGTTGAGACTTATCTCTTAGGCAAAACCATTTGAGTTTCAAAAATCATTACATCTCTCTCTCTAAACTCAATCAAAAGGAAAATCTATCTATGAAGATGTTCCTCCTTCGGTCTAACCTGACTGATAATCTGGCACATTTAATAAAAAAAAATAGTGAGGATAACAGAATAGGTTGTAAAAAGATGCATGCTATTTGCAATTGTCTTAGCACAACAGAGCACTGCGTCCATGGAATTTTGATAATAACCAATACGTCAATCTACATAAATAAAGGCAATAGTAGTATACCGCTGTTCAATAATCATAAATCGATTTAACTGAAACAAATCCGGGTCACAAACCAAAACTGAGGGAAACACATCAACTATAAGAGGAAACAAAACGGAACAACAGAAACACTGAACTGCTACAAAAACAAACGCCAACATACACAGAAACGGACTATGTGATAACAACTGCCATATTCCTGACTTGGTACAGGACATTTTAAGAAAAAATGGTGGGTTGAACCCGGGTCACAAACCAAAACTGAGGGAAACACATCAACAATAAGAGGAAACAAAACGGAACAACAGAAACACTGAACTGCTACAAAAACAAACGCCAACATACATAGAAACATGTTATATGATAAGAAAAAATGGTGGGTTGAACCTGGGTGCTATTGTTAGTACAATTCGGTGGTAATTTTCATCCGGTAATGACACATTCGAGAAAAAAGGAAGCTGCATTAACAATGCACTTGTATACCTTTTTCTTCGTTGTGTCAGAATAATTTCTTGCGATTCCGAAAGCAATACATTGATTTTGTCAATTTTCTCTACAGAAATAGTTATTCGAGTTTTATTTTTGGAAAAGGCCGACATTACATATTGTATACCAGGTAGAAATGATACCAATACAACTATGTCATGCACTAAGAAAATGAAATATACAAATTCAAAGGAAAATACAAGAACAATGCAGATAAAATGTAATGACAATACGAAAGACATAAACAAATAGAACACCTTAACCTAAAAATAGTTAGAAATAAAAACTTCTGTCAAATACAGTTTTGAAGCCAGGTGCCCATGAAAGGTAGCGATATCCTTCTTTGTATGCGACCAGTCGCCATGTGGTCAGTCCGTTGTCAGTGTGTATAAATAGGTTGAAACGCCAATTTATGACATGCTTCTATCTATGATTAGGTATTAATTTAGTAGGAATTTCCCTTTTTTCTCATTTCTTCAATTTCTACCACCTTCTGACAGATGCAGATTACCATTGTAAATATCATCATGATCATAACTTAAAGAAAAACATTCATTTAGGGAAGAAAGTAACAAGTTTTATCATCGGCTTCGTACGATTGACAAAAAATAGTTCCAAAGGCTCGGGCAGTCGACAATTGGTGCACATTAGAGTTCTGAATATTTACTAGAATTCTATCCATTGAATTATGGAAAGATGTTATTTGTTAAAACTTCCGAATTCAAACGATCTCTTCCTCTTATTACTCTTATTTTCACTCAATGAAGTTCCTGCTAAAGTAGTTATTTGTCTTTCTAAAACTTGAAATGCATACATAATATTTGGATTTTTTAAAAGGGAGATTAATATTGTGGACGATCTCGAAATCTTTGACGAAGTGCTGAATTGCAAAGTTTTGTGTCGAATTGTGTTCACTGCAGCAACTCTGACTACCTCAGTAATTGTCCGCCTATTTCGAAACGTATACATTTTTGTTTAGGGGCCAGCTAAAGCCCGCCTACGTGTGCGAGATTTTCTCGCTGTGTTGAAGACCCATTTGTGGCCGTAAGCTGTTTTCTGCTCTTTGGTCGGGTTGTTGTCTCTTTGACACATTCCCCATTTCCATTCTCAATTTTATATCGTGATATCTATCATTTATGGGTTTGAAATCGTTTGATATTTAGTGTATACGGCTTCTCAAACTCTCGGTCAAGATTTATCCCCAATATATGTGTTATGTGTTCTGAATTATATATCCTACGTGTCTTACGTTTTCAAACTGCAAATTACAATATGCAGTCATTATTTAATTACATTCTTATAAAAATAAATGTTACCTTATTGTATATTTTGTATTCTTTTATTCCGTCCTCTGTTTTTACAGATAACACCTTCAAATATAGACGTAAACATATTGAAGTTGCTATTGATCAATGTTGATACTATATTTCAATACATGCTGCAAAATCAGATTATGTTGCTATAATTCATATGCTGATATGCCAGATGAAAAACAGACGGACAAGATGATTTCAATATTGCCTTCACTACTAGAGAGAGGTTAATATTATTTTGTTCAATTTTGATTCAATAAGATTTGAAAGGTCTCATGTTTTTTCTACTTTTAAGCGCTGTTACTTTTCTGTAGTTTTGGCAAGTTTGTTTTGGAATTGTGTGTCATATATATGCAAACTTTATTCTTTTTTCCCATTATGTTTTCAGTATTATTATTAATCACTTGTTAAATAAATCAAAACATAAAAACTTGATATTGTTTCATATAATGAAGTTGAATCATAAAATTTAATTGTTCAATTAGTTATCCTAGGAATTAAGTTGCCCGAGGTAAGTGGCCAGACATGTCTTATTTATAACAAACCCGTATATAAATCTTAAACAATACTTGTTACACATAAACAATACTTGTTACACATAAACAATACTTGTTACACATAAACTCATCAAAGATACAAGACTTATATTGTGTACGCAAGACACGCGTTTCGTCTACAAAAGACTCGAATCAAAAAAACTAAAAGGCCAAATAAAGTACGTGATCGTGTTACCTCTTGATTATCTTGTCGTGATTTCCGAACAAGAAAAGTTCCAACTGACAGATGACCCAGTTTTCTACAAAAAGACATAATTTATGACATATCCGAATATGGTTGCTGGTAATACGTTACCACACCTATAATCATTTTACTATGTCTATTTTGAACAGAATGAAAAATTATTTAAATCATGATATTAAGAAAGTCCCTTCATATTATAATACTGGTTGTAGAAAAGGCCAAATACTTCACGCCAGACTCCAGCTGAACTGCAGTGGCTTAAATGAACACATTTTCCCTTGGACAAGTTGAGAGCAGCAAACACTATCTGCTAGAATGTCATAATTATAGACTCATTAGGACACAAACCATTTCCACACTACCAAGAAATGTTGATATACAAACATTATTATCAGGTAGCGAACTCATCAGTGATGAGGAAAACGAAAATATTTTTAAAGTTTATATATTAAGTTCTTCTTGTTTCAGAATCCCTGTATTTCTATTGTATGATTGTAATTTGTGCACTTTCGAAAAAAAAAACATTGTTTAAACTAGAATGAGATATGATATATACGGTCATGAATAATCTACTTTCTCAATGAATACATACCCTTCAACCAGAGTTCTGTCACTGCTATTAAATTCAAACTCAGATCTGGAATATCTTAATTTCTACAAACAAACATAATATGGTCCGAGTACACAGTTATTTCGTAGTGCATTTCTTTTAGACAATAAATGAAAATAAAAAAAATCCCACCTGCGCTTTCTCAATAATATTTTTACAGTGTGTTGTACTACTTTTGGGACAAATCATATCAAAATTATAGAAAACTTCATCGGCTCTAACTCAAAATATGGACAATTCTATGTTAAGGGGGTCTTGAAATCTTTTGACAGCTTCCGAAGTGCTAATTTTTAACCTTTTTCAGCTGGACCAAATCACTACTTTACTTTACAATTCATGACCCAAATTTTTTTACAGTGTAATTTCATCCCCCTACTTGCTATTTGAGGCATAAAACATGAAGGAATACATTTGGAAGGGGTACTAAAAAAATTGGCAAGCAACACACTGTCCACACTAGGGACTTTATTCGTATTGAAACGAAAAAGGGTTAAATATAATCGTTAATATCGAAAAAAAAGTTTCAATTAATTTATTAAAAATCAAATGTTCCAGTTGTGATGCTAGAATATAAAGAGAATTTTATTCTTTTTTTTAATTTCAATTTTAATTTGCATATATAGTTACTACTTTATAAAAAAATATCGGAAATGTTTAGCGCTTGATACGTTATACAATTTATGATGTATTGATGGGATATTTGGTTACCTTAATATTGGACGGTGGTTTCTGTGGCACTTTTGGTTTGATTGGTTCAACAAGACGAGGTGTTCTTTCTTTTGGTACATTGGGTGGAACAACTGCAAACATACTACATTATGTATTATGGGATGTATTATGGTACAAACCCCTTCTTCTATACCTTATGCACCTGTCCTCAGTCAGAAGCCTGTTGTTCAGTGGTTGTCGTTTGTTGGTGTGGTTCATAGGTGTTTGTCGTTTCTCGTTTTTTATATAGATTAGACCGTTTGTTTTCCTGTTTGAATTGTATTACACTAATCATTTTGGGGCCCTTTATAGCTTGCTGTTCGGTGTGAGCCAAGGCTCCGTGTTGAAGGCTGTATACTTTGACCTATAATTGTTAACTTTTTATACATTGTGACGAGGATGGAGAGTTGTCTCATTGGCACTCATACCACATCTTCTTATTTATATTGAATTACTATATGCACAATAAAAGATGAATACACACGTTCGCTTGGCTGATATCTATTTGACACCTAAAAGTCAAAATTTTAGAATTTAGATGATTTCTTTCAAATAAGACAGAAATCACAAACCTACGACATATTTTTGACACCAGAATGTAAGGACTTTGAAACCGTAATAGATTTTCATTAGTCTCTTAACTACTACTAGGGGTTATTTAACGACCTTGACTAGCCATGATGATATCGCACGGTCGGCAATTTAGGCCCTTTAGAAAAGCCGAATGCCAGTAAAACATTAAACAGTTTATACGATTGAGACAAAAATTGGCTCTTGTTGTCACTTTTTCATGTTCTTTATCGTCAGACAAACCTGGCAAAGCTCGACCGATACAGGCATCATCTGTGATCGTATCATAGTCACTTAAGTCGTCTTCTTCATCTGAAAAAAAAAGTAAAGATATTTAGAAATGTTGCGTACAATTGGAATGTTTTCTCCTCTGCATGCATAAATTCCCTACGAGAACTGACAGTTCATGTCTGTGTTTATATGAAAAAAGCTAGTTTCTACATATGTATGGACTATACGTCAACTCATAGCCGTATTTTTGTATACCGATATATAAATATATCAAGTGCCCACGTTTTATCGCAATGCTTTAAGATATAAAGCTAAATGTAACAGGTCGTGTTCGTACTTACTATATTTTTTTTAACTACTGCAGTTGAGTATGCCAAGTGTGTTTGTATACTACACAGAGTCTTTTTATAACAGTTTATAATCATTCAAACGAAAGCTACAACCGTTGTGAAATTCGATTCTATTGTCTGAACACAAAAAATAAATACAATGTATACATAAAAAGTTTACAACAGATAACATAAATTAAAACATGATATTGAATACTAAAAGAAGAAAAAATCAATAAATATTGTTTTTAACTGGTTTTTGGTATTTTACACTTTTAGACGAGTATTTATTTTATGTTGTCAATTAATGAGTTACAAATCTAGTTTGTGCTTTGACGGAATTACAGTACCTGGACTTCAAAAAATGTGTTTACTATGCTTGGAGATATAAAACTTCGTAAAGTTGTGCTGATACATTTTGTCGACATCAGACATTTAAACTCTGGATGTGAAGGCATATTCGTGTTATTTAACAATTCAAGTTTCCTCCTTCGTTCAATTATTACATTAAAGAGTTAAGAAAAATCTTTCAAAACATCAATATTAAACGTATATACACTTATTACACGAAATTCATAATAAAAGTCATATTAAGCATTGCATAGTATTATATAGTAAGTGCCCAATAGTCATTTGCATTATTCTCATTGACAATGTTAGAGTGTTACCGTCTTCCGGAGGCGATGGAGGGAGCGGCCTGCTTGAAGCTGTCTTTTCGTTTTTGTCTTTTTCATTTGGTTTCTTTCCATTTTCCTTTTTCTTTTTTTCATTATTTTTCGCCTTTTTAACAAGCTTTTTGTCTGGTTCCCGATACATATTTGCTGACTCTGTCTGTACTGGTTTCTCCAAAGAAACATATTCGTCTTGGTCAAAATCACTAGAAATAAAAAAATATTTGGTCCTCATTCGAATGAAAATATGGCTTAAAATATTTTGTGTCTCATTAATAGAATTTCTTTTAAACAATCACATAACGCTTTCTTTTGCCTGTACAAGAGACATATAATACAGTATAATTCTTAGAATGTGTTCAAAGTTCGAAAAACAATCTATTGTTGATCGATGGTTGCTGTCTTCCAATGTTATTGTTTTTGTTTATTGTTGTAGTATAAATAAGGCTGTTGTTTTTTTTTTCAAATTTTTTTTAATTTTTGAATTGTTTCATATTTATTTCATCTCGGTTCCTTTTTGTGTCTCTCTAAATGGTATGTTTTTTGCTCATTGTGAATGGATTGCAATCATAGCACATCTTTACTTATCAAAGTTATTGATAGAAGGTTACTCGATTAAGAAAGCTAGAAATAATACATTTGGATCAATTGTTTAAATTTATTGCTTATTTCATTGCAGCTGTACTTAAAATTTACTTGTACGATTGACTGAAATTCCTGTCACATCTATTAAAGACGTAGTTCCATCATTGAGTTAATAAGACGCAATGATACCTGTAATCATTGGAGTACTACATCAACAGATATAGGAAGATGTGGTATGAGTGCCAATGAGACAACTCTCCATCCAAGTTACAATTTATAAAAGTAAACCATTATAGGTCAAGGTACGGCCTTCAACACGGAGCATTGGCTCACACCGAACAGCAAGCTATAAAGGGCCCCAAAAAATTACTAGTGTAAAACCATTCAAACGGAAAAACCAACGGTCTAATCTATATAAAAACGAGAAACGAGAAACACGTATGAACTACATAAACAGACGACAACTACTGTAATCAGATTCCTGACTTAGGACAGGTGCAAACATTTGCAGCTGGATTAAACATTTTAATGGTACCAAACCTTCTCCCTTTTCTAAAACAATAGTGTAACATCACAACATAGAAAAACACACTATAAAATATCAATTGGAAGGCTTAACTCAATAAAAAAACGTAAATTAACACACAATGAACGAATAAATTTGACCTGTGACACCTGAATGCAAATACACAGTTAATAAAAAATTACAAGGGATAAATAATTAAAGTCAAAAGTAAATAAACAGGTTTAAACAAAGTTAAAGTATGATATATCAAAGCTATTTAGAATATGACAATATAAAGCATCGGTAAATCTAACCTTTTTATATGAAAAGAACAATGATGATTACTTCACCGATTTATAACATCCATTTACCTTTGAGAGAAGGGCCATGTCAAATTTACCTTTGTAAATGAGAAGTGCCGTGTACTGCATCGTCCATTTCCTTTCTAATTTTTTGAAACCAAACCTTCAAATAGATCATTTGTATGTTGTATTTTGTAAATAAATGCACATGTGCCTCAAATAACACGTTTTTTTTTTCAAAACGAGCTGTTCTAGGCAGCAAAATTGGAAAATCCACATCAAGGACAGCAATAATTGTACGTTTTTCTTTGATTTACATAAATTTGAATTATATTGTTATACATATATATCCAATTTGAAAACAAGATTAATACATTGCTGCATTACTACGTATAGTTGTTGAACAAGTTTTCAGTAACTGTTCAGTACTCTTAGATCGGTATTTTGTATCTTTTTTTTTCTTTTTTTTTACTTTTTTTTTCGTGCGGATTTGTGGAGTAAAGCCTTAAAGTTTTCAAAACGACTGTTTCAGTAAATTTTTGGGTTTTACTGTTATACTACTGTCCGAGATAAGGGCAGGGTCGATCGCTCACAAACATTTTTATCACTTCACATTCGGACCGACACATTCAGAGTAAGGCGGGGTCAAACTGAACCTTCCTCAAACCTGGCACAGCGGTGTTATAGCACAACGTAAGCACACACTGTAAACATTAGCTGAAAAGGGAGTGACTCATTCGATCGACACACAGCACAAAAGCTTGCCCGCTAAAATTAATTTGTATTAATAAGTAATACAATAATTCTCAATGTTTTTAACATGTTTAAAAATACAAAATTTCGCATGTTTTAAGAAGTTTTGTAATAACTATCTTCTTACCTTTCTTTCTTCGTCAGTCGAAGAGCAAAAGGTTAAAAGCTTCTGAGGCGAACTTTCATTCAAAGGTACGAGTTGAAATTTCATTCTTGTTCTTCTGTCGTTGTCTTGAAGCCTTTGCAGCCTTTTAATTAAATAGATTTAAGGTTTAAAGCATTTTAAGATTTTTATTCATTTATATCGCGTATTCCCTCATTAATTTCATCTATTCATTTCATATTATTCTATTCATTAATTTTTATATCATTTAGCAGATTAACTACATTTTCGCTAATGATGTACCTTAAATACACTTGTTTCTAAAAAAAACTCCATTTTGTCGTTGCAGCCTGCTCAAAACGAGGACTAGGACTGGTCGTATGTTTGATTACGAGTTGAGCAGTAGCTAGCGCATTAACAATCCGACCCACGTGTCAATCTTAATATGATATTAGAAGGATTTAAAATCTCCAATTTAAAAGTTATCCGTTGTTTATATTTATCGATAGTTGGTAATCTATTATTGTGTCATTAATATTTGCAGTAATTAGTGGAATCGCTGCCTCGTTTGGGTCTTTTCGATATTAACGCCAAGGTTGACAGACGCAAATTAAACAGATATTTTTATCCTTTTAAAAAAACCCACGACCCACCCAATATATTGCTATGTTATGATTTTAAAGACACGATACTGCTTTAAGTTTTGTATTTCAGCTTGAATTCTGTTAATGGTACTCCAGGAATGATATTAAGGGGAAATCGTAACTATATATCGGCTAAGGAGTCTGAAGACACAGTACATGTGAACTTAACGTTGTGGCATTTGGCACATATTCAGTGAACATTAATGATAGCCTCATTATATGTTACATCTATACAAGTCATAAATACAAACATTTATAGATATATTTCAGATCATAAACTGACAATTTTATACATGTACATTTAATGTTATAATATATTGTTTATGCTAAAGCTGTGGCCAAATACTGCCAAACTTCATTATTCATTTTTGTTACTTGTTGTGCCTCAAGGATAATATGTTATTATCCTAGATAAACCTGTAATATCTTCCGTTGGACATTAACATCCAAAAAATATTACACAATACGATCGATTTTGTAGTATATCATCAGTGACGTTAAGACTCTTACTGTTTTTATAGAGGAGAAGAATACACAATCTAATTCTGTATCCTTTTGAAAAAGTGGAGACAAGCTCGTACTACAATCTGTCGATACCTTTATTTTGGCATTGCACAAGGTCATGCTTTTCTCTGATTGTTAATGACGTCTTTAGACTAAATCCATTAGATGTTGGATGTGTATTGATTGATATTTTAGTCTTAGATACATGATTTTTTTATTAATTGTTAATGGCTTTGAACTAGCCGTCAGTAACTGTAGTACTCTCAGATCTGTACTTTGTGTCTTTCCTTTGTGAGAGATGTTTAAATACCATGCCGCGTCCGGTCTGTTGTTTTGTTAGATGTTTTTCTGCTTTGTATCAATCTGATGAATTAAGCTCTTTTCAACTGATATAGTTTGTTCTTATGGTGTACAGTTACACCACTTTCCCAGGTTAGGGGAACATTTCATATGTGCCTGTCCCAAGTCAGGAGCCTGTAGTTCAGTGGTTGTCGTTTGTTCATATCTGTCATATATGTTTTTCGTAAATTGTTTTGTTATAAATTAGGCCGTTAGTTTTCTCAATTGTATTGTTTCATATTTTTCATGTCGGTGCCTTTTATACGACTATACGATATGGGTTTTTTTTCTCATTGTTGAAACGGTTGCCTATAATTGCTTACATCCACTTCATTTGAACTTTGGTGGATAATTGTCTCAATGTCAATCATACCCGCATCTCATTCTTTTTATATCGTAGACGTTTTTAGATATTATTAAAATAATATTTGTTGTCAAATTAAACACTCGTTATTTAAAGCCAATCAATTCCCTTCTAGCTATATATATAGATATGACAAATGTTTGGAATTTTCTCAGCGACCACCCACATGTATCGATATTTCAATGTTTTTGTAGGATTAGGACGATATGGTTCTAACATCTGTCCTTAAATTACAAAATTGTCCAAAATTTGTATAAATAGTACCTGTTAAAGTCGGCTAAAGAGAAGGCTTTAAGAGGTGATGTGGCATACTCATCTTTGTATATATACATACATCCTTCACATAACACAACAAAACGTTGTCTCCCTGTAAAAGTAACTGGTATTTATAAAGAAGAAACAACATTTGATGATTTTTCTAGTTCCATATTAAATTATGGTTAAAATTCCCATAGGTCTAACTTGTACAACAATCTGTGCAGTGAAAAAATATCAAAACGAAAAGTTATTTGAATGTAAATGAATATATATTTTGATACATTGGATAATTTGCACTTTCTTCTCTATGTTTAAAGTGATTTTATTTTATATTAGTAAACGGCTAAATTCAATATATTTCTTTTAGTTTCACAAATATAATTCAGACCAAAATGGAAAAGCAAAGTAATTGATGGAACTAACTTTTGAAAAATAAGTTAACTTTCCCACTGAAAACTTTGCACACTAAAAGGGACCCAGTCAAAATTAATGTACTTGCATTTAACTGCTTCTCTAAAAAAAGGTTTTAAAATAACAGTCCTTCGGACAAATTTTTCTAAACTTCCTTCATAACGTAGAAATCCGTGATGACTTGTAGTGTTAAGGGTAGATATATCTTGTGCACCTAAAGGTAAAAAAAGTGCATGTGACACTTGCAAATAAAGACATATCATGCTTAGACAGAAGCGTTACCATTACATCGCATGCGATCTTCAATAAACAGATGTTCCTTTGGGTAGTGTTGCTTTGTTTGTCCTGTAAGCATCGGTAAAGAACTCGTCATGCATACAATATGTTTGATGTAGTTTTTAGGTTTTTATTGTAGGGATTTAGAAGTTAGATGTATTATGCGCTATAAATTAAAAGTGTGTAGTCCTTTGCACAATTGCTGAATATGATAAGCGGGGGAACAGATTTTAATTAACAACATATACAGGAATCGTTTTAAAGAATCGAAGAGAAAAAAGATTGCTTTATTATACTGTTTATCTATGCTTTCACTGCTTTTGAATTGTTTTCTATTGAAATTGAAATACTGACAATTTCATTAATGTTAACACTGTACTTTTCTGTGGTAAAAGTGCTAAAATTGTCATCTCTGAAATCATGATTATAAAAAAAATGTCTATGTTAACCGTATTATATATAACAACGAATAAAGTGTGAACACGCATGTGATTATAGAACATATCATACCTATAGTAAAGTGTGAACACGTATGTAATTATTGAACATTTCATACCTATAGTAAAACGAGGTGTGAACACGTATGTGATTATAGAACATTTTATACCTATAGTAAAACGAGGTGTGAACACGTATGTGATTATAGAACATTTCATACCTATAGTAAAACGAGGTGTGAACACATGTGATTATAGAACATTTCATACCTATAGTAAAGTGTGAACACGTATGTGATTATAGAACATTTCATACCTATAGTAAAACGAGGTGTGAACACGTATGTAATTATAGAACATTTCATACCTATAGTAAAACGAGGTGTGAACACGTATGTGATTATAGAACGTTTCATACCTATAGTAAAACGAGGTGTGAACATGTATTTGATTATAGAACATTTTATACCTATAGTAAAACGTGGTGTGAACACGTATGTGATTATAGAACATTTCATACCTATAGTAAAACGAGGTGTGAACACGTATGTAATTATAGAACATTTCATACCTATAGTAAAGTGTAAACACGTATGTGATTATAGAACATTTCATACTTATAGTAAAGTGTGAACACGTATGTGATTATAGAACATTTCATACCTATAGTAAAACGAGGTGTAAACACGTATGTGATTATAGAACGTTTCATACCTATAGTGAAACGAGGTGTGAACACGTATGTGATTATAGAACATTTTATACCTATAGTAAAACGAGATGTGAACACGTATGTGATTATAGAACGTTTTATACCTATAGTAAAACGAGGTGTGAACACGTATGTGATTATAGAACGTTTCATACCTATAGTAAAACGAGGTGTGAACACGTATGTAATTATAGAACATTTCATACCTAAAGTAAAATGAGGTGTGAACATGTATGTGATTATAGAACGTTTTATACCTATAGTATAACGAGGTGTGAACACGTATGTGATTTTAGAACGTTTTATACCTATAGTAAAACGAGGTGTGAACACGTATGTGATTATAGAACGTTTTATACCTATAGTAAAACGAGATTCGTGAACGCGTAAGTGATTAAAGAACATGTCATACCTATCTTAAAGCGAGGTTCGTGAACACGTATGTGATTATAGAACATTTCATACCTAAAGTAAAACGAGGTTCGTGAACTATAGAACATGTCATACCTATAGTAAAACGAGGTGTTAACACGTATGTGAACTATAGAACATGTCATACCTATAGTAAAACGAGGTGTTAACACGTATGTGAACTATAGAACATGTCATACCTATAGTAAAACGAGGTGTTAACACGTATGCGAACTATAGAACATATGTGATTTTAGAACGTTTAGGTACCATTAAAACGTTTAAACCCGCTGCATTTGTTTGCACCTGTCCTAAGTCAGGAATCTGATGTTCAGTAGTTGTCGTTTGTTGATGTGGTTAATTAGTGTTTCTCGTTTCTCGTTCTTTATATAGATTAGACCGTTGGTTTTCCCGTTTGAATGGTTTTACACTAGTAATTTTTGGGGCCCTTTATAGCTTACTGTTCGGTGTTAGCCAAGGCTCCGTGTTGAAGACCGTACTGTGACCTATAATGGTTTACTTTTATAAATTTTGACTTGGATGGAGAGTTGTCTCATTGGCACTCATACCACATCTTCTTATATCTATAGTAAAACAAGGTGTGAACACGTATGTGATTAAAGAACATGCCATACCTATAGTAAAGTGTAAACACGTATGTGATTATAGAACATGTCATACCTATAGTAAAACGAGGTTCGTTAACAAGTATGTGATTAAAGAACATTTCATACCTATAGTAAAGTGTAAACACGTATGTGATTATAGAACATTTCATACCTATAGTAAAACGAGGTTCAGTCACTCTATCTTCTTCCTCCTCTTCCATTTTCCATCATTTATTTAAGCTTATTTATGTCTGTAATATCAAATTTAAAAAGATTATGAAGCTGGACTTTTTTTTCAACCCAATTCATTTGCATTGCTCCATGGTAACATGTTTTAATGTTAAAAATTACTTAGTGTAAACAGTATTCATTATGAAATAAATACATCTTATACAATATAAATTCACACTGTGGCAAAAAGGATTCAGAAACAGGCAACAAGTGAGAAACAAGCAAAAGGTGATAACTTGGACATTTCAACCCTGAAATATCACTGACCACATGTATTTGAGAAATAAAGTCCGATAAAAAATGTTTAAATGACATCCTTCATAACCAACTGTATATTTATATACACTAAAATCAGCAAAGACCCATCGAAACAACATCTGATACAAAAATTTAACAATACTTTTAGATATTTGGATGATATATTGGCTCTCAATAATGACGACTTCAGTATGTATACTAACGAAATTTATCCTGTTGAACTTACTTTAAATAAAGCTAATACTAACAATGACCACTGTCCTTCCCTCGATCTTGATATTTATATCATTAACGGGAAGCTTAATACAAAAATGTATGATAGAAGAGATGATTTTTCATTTCCTATCGTTAATTATCCATTTTTAGATGGTGACGTTCCCTTGTCACCATCTTATGGTGTTTATATATCTCAACTTGTACGATTCGCTCGTGTATGTAACAACGTATTAGATTTTAGCGAGAGAAATTTATGTATTACTGAAAAATTATTACACCAGGGTTTTCGATATCATAAACTAGTCAAAACATTTACTAAATTTTATCATCGGTATAAGGACATCATTCGTAAATATAACTCAACATGCAGATATCTTATACGTTCGGGTATTTCACATCCAATCTTTTATGGTAATATTCTTTACAAAGCACAAAAATGTCAGTATTCACCTCAAAAGCTAACAAAACCTTTAAACAGACTTATTAAGAAGGGATATAGTTACGATACTGTTGTCAGGTCATTAAAGATTGCATATTTTGGCTTTAATATTAATTCACTTATAGGGTCTTTGCATCGGGATTAAACACATTTATTCTATAAAACCAGTTGTTGGCATGACACGGGTTATGTTCTTCTCATATATTTTATGACGGTATAATACTAAACCCCTAACAGGAGGGATTGTGCCTGATATTCATATGATGAAGACATAATCTTTCAATCAGTTTAATTGAGGTCTGGAGCTGGCATGTCAGTAACTGCTAGTAGTCTGTTGTTATTTATGTATTATTGTCATTTTGTTTATTTTCTTTTGTTTCCTATTCTGACATCGGACTCTGACTTCTCTTAAACTGAGTTTTACTGTGCGTACTGTTGTGCGTTTGTTTTTTCTACATTGGTTAGAGGTATAGGGGGAGGGTTGAGATCTCAAAAAACATGTTTAACCGCGCCGCATTTATGCGCCTGTCCCAAGTCAGGAGCCTCTGGCCTTTGTTAGTCTTGTATCATTTTTTATTTAAGTTTCTTGTGTATAATTTGGAGTTTAGTATGACGTCCATTATCACTGAACTAGTATACATATTTGTTTAGGGGCCAGCTGAAGGACGCCTCCGGGTGCGGGAGTTTCTCGCTGCATTGAAGACCCATTGGTGGCCTTCGGCTGTTGTCTGCTCTATGGTCGGGTTGTTGTCTTTTGACACATTCCCCATTTCCATTCTCAATTTTATTGTATATAAAAAAATGACCAATCAAATTAACGTTTACCCCATATCCCCTTTTACTCACAAAATTGAAAGATAATGCCAAATAGAACAATCAAAAACCGTTTAAAATGATATCAATTGATTTAATATACATGTATACCAGCCGTTTGAAATAAAATAAATATGACTTCCGAACTAACAACAGTGAAGCATCACAACAGGGTTATGTCATTTTATCACGCATCAACGGTTTGTGTGTTTATGTATTTTCGGTTCTTAAACAGAAAAACGTCGTAGTTATAAAACATCCACGTAATGACCTGTATGAATATAAGGAGATATCACGAAGTGAAAGTAAACGAGAAGGAGATATCACGAAGTGAAAGTAAACGAGATAGAAACAAACGGGTTTAATAGTTTACTATGCAGTATATATAAAATGAATAAGCGTTGATTCTGTAATAAACGCTTATCCATTGTATCTATAACTTAAACTATTGTGTTGGTGTCTTTTCAAAATTGAAGCCTTTTCTTAATTATAAGGTAGTGTTTAGAGTTTAGATAACCACGTTATCATGTTCAATGATGCATTAATAAATCTAAGTTCACAACTAATTGGTTAAAGAAATACAAATATAACATAAAACGTCTTTCTTTAAATTTTCAGGCATCTGAATATTATCTGTAATTTACAAAATAAGACGTATTTGAACTTATTTCTAGGTACATGTATATATAATAAGTATGTTTCGGAATTTCTAGCAAGAAGCCTAATTCTAGGTACACCATGATTTACTCGCATAGGGATTTCCGAATAAACGTAGTAAAACAGATGAAATCATACTATATTTATAAAACAAAAATGGACAAATTATATGTAATCATTTTTGTTTCAAATATGTGAAATAGCCAATAATAATCCAAAAATAAACGGGAAAACCCGCTATTATTACAAAAATATCCAAAATAACATACAAAATAAAATAAAAGGAAAAACTCAAGAATAGGGACAACAAAAAGAATACAGGGATTCGAACCTAGACCGACAAGTCTCTACCTTTAACTTGACTCTTTAACCATGCTAACCTCGCGGCTACCAACTTATACTATACAATTGCTTATTATGTATATAAAAAGGTACAAGCCCTGTGTGTCCGTTGTACCCGATGTGTATGACATGTTCATTTATAAAATTGACATCTAAATTGTAACCCATTGGTAGCCGAGAGGTTTCGTCGATGTGTTGATGTCAGTCACACTTAACAGATTTCAAGGAGGGGTTCGATTTCCAGTGAAAGCATATAAAATTACTTACACCCCAGTTCTATTGTTATACTTCATAGTTTCTATTTCTGAAACAAGTGTAAATTGAATAGATCTATTGTTACGAATAACAAAGGACTTTGACCACAGGGTGTGACGAGCGGGGTTTCTGGAAACCCCTGCTTCTACATCCCGCAAACAAAGTCCATTGTTATTCGTAACAATAGAAATTGATTATTTTTTAAATAGCATGAACATAAGAATTTACTAATAGTGTTTACTACAAATTGTTTCAAGATATTAAAAAAACACATTTAAGGAAATTCCAATAGCGAAAAAAAGAATTAAGCATCTATTTTGAATTCAAAAATAATTCTTTAAATACTCTTTTGCTTGAAGTAATTTATTTTATTCCAGTCATATGCCTCTATTCTTAAGCATTGGTATATAACTCCCGGGACCCCCCCCCCCCCCCCCCCCCCCCCCCCCGGTTACCCATTGGCCGATCTGGCGTGGGTTTCCGCGGTTTGGACCCAAAAAGATCGATGCATTTGAATTGTTGGACCCCCCTTTTCTGTTGAGTTGGGAACCCCCAGCTGGATCAGCCCCCGTTTGCCCCCTAAAAAGGGAGTTCCTAAATATTAAATCTCTTTCTTTGTTTGTTGAGCGTGTCTGGTGGTCGGGTCACACCTATCCCTTAGTATGTTGGAATATGAATGTTTGTTTATTCTCGAGAAGAGGGTGGGGGGTATAAAACCATAAGGTATAAAATACAGTTATGATTACCTTTATTACACTGATACCTGTCAGTACTTTGGGTTATAATATTGCCTTTATCTTAAGTCTCTTCTACCAAATCCAACGCTTGCCACAAAATGTCGTCCGTCTTATACCCGTCCATATGGACAACTGCATACAAGGAACATGATGTATTGTTTGTTTGTAATAAGAATACACGAAACGGTCAACCTTGACCCTCTGATCCATATTAGCAAAGGATTTAACGGGAATATGCAAAACAACTTGACATTTGTAAAATATACTCACTTGTCAAAGTTTGAACGAAAATAACCAAAGAAAGGTTACTAGTGGGGTTTCATGTAATAAAAAAAAATTCTTATAAATCATCGTTTGGTATTATCAATAAATATGCTATCGGTTTTTTTATTCATTTGATAATCAATGTTAACAAATATAGGGTTTAGAATGGGGTGTAAGTTAGTTATACACCTCGAGATACGGTGTGTCTGGATAAGAAACCCCTCCGGCCTCCGGCCGACGGGGTTTCTTATCCAGACACACCTATCCCTCGGTGTATAACTATTACGTCTAGGTTAGTCTATGGAAAGGTATATACTATGAAATTTAGAGCGAGGGGCTTGCCCCGAGCTCTTAATTTCATAGTATATACCTTTTCATAGACTATCCAATTTAGCACATATTTACAACTCGAGTAATCTTTTAATTGGTCTATTGATAGTTTATTTTGGCTGACTACTTGTATCACAGGTGTTTGTAAAACGCAGCTCATTAACGAAGTTTTGTAAATCTACTCACTAGTATCATTGTAAAATATGTGATTTCAAAAGGCCCTTCACTCCAGAATGAAAAGATGGTAGCTGCTGGTGTAAGTATGTATATTGATATAAATCGGTGTTTTACTATACATGTTCTTCTTATATGGTAAGATGACAAAATAAATTGACCAAAAGCAGACAATAATTAAATTGCAGTGGAAGCTTTACATGTTTTAAAAACATTTTTTAATTTCACAGTAAAACTAAAGCTATAATAAATTTGAAACATATAGATAGTTTGTCCCCGTAGATATAGTCTAGCAGATAGGCATTTTAAAGTAACTACCAATAGATCAGAGATTATAGGTTTTGTGTTTTGTGTTTTTTTTTTTTTTTTTTTTTGTAAAAACTAAAAGATTTATCAGAATATGTTTATATATATATATATAGGTGGCACATTATCTTCAGACATAATCACAGTTTTTCAATTCATGACATCGTCCTTAACATGCATGAAATATTTGCCACTGGACATTAAGCAACCAATAATCAATAAATCAATC